AGGAACATGATCAAAAATAAAAATCACAGTTCATCAGTTTTTATTTTTAGAACAGCCACAGGACTTCTGCAAAAACTTGAGAGCCTCGACAAGTATGAGTCATAAGAGCAACATTTTGTTAGCCAACCCATTGCATAATGCACGCACCACATATGGCAATTTTTTTAATGAAGACAAAATAGAATGTTATTGCCCCATAAATAGTTTTAATTTGCCTTGACCCTTGAGAAACTCACAGACACTGGTAGGTCAAACTAAAACAAATTTTGGAGAGTTTGAATTATTCTTAGATTCCTACCAATGATCCGAACACATACTGCCTTTCTGCACATCATTCCTGATATGTTTCTGTAGAACTAGGAGACCATCAGAACTATCAGTTCTCCATTTTTCGTTTAAAAAAAAGCACAAGTTTTTCCAAGCATGATTATTCATTAAAGGACCAGTTTGGGAACCATAACAACTTCAATGAAATTATGTTTTTAAGATGCCAGGAGGTCCCTGGCGCTAGGTCACTTTTAGGGCTTAAACTGTTCATAAATAGTTGCTCCCTATTCATACAATTTTTTTTACATACCATTTATGATGATTGGAGATCTACTGATTGGCGTAGAGCATCAGCTGACCCCTCTAAGTCAATCCATGGTGCCCAAGCCCTGCGTACAGAAAGCGGAATGACAGGGGGCAGTGTGATTCGGTACTGGAGCACAGGTTTGAGGTTAAACTGTTCATGAGCGGTTTAACTCCAAAAGGTGAGCCAGCACTGAGGACCTCCTGGCACCTTAACTTAATTTCCATTAAGTTGTTATGGTACAAATGTCTGAATTGAACCAAAATAGAAAAATGGTCTATGTCAGCTGAGCTTTCAGTTTGGCTGTTTTTGTTAAAAATGTGAAATCAGCACATGAAATATCACCACTTGAATTCGCCTTGAATTTCTTACAATTCACACTTTAGTGAATAACTTTGTGGTGTTAATGCTAAAACAGAGAGCCTGGCAGTGAATAAAGCTGGGCTGGATAATTTTTTTCCCCAGATCATTTATTTGTGCCTAAAGGCTGCCATTTGGATATACTTATATTTTTCCCTTTTCTTGTTTTGTTTTCTTTCTTTTTTTCTTTTCTTTTTTCCCCACATTTTCGTTTTTTTGCATTTAGATTTAATTTCACTACAATTAAGAGTCTGGTAAACCTCAGTGAAAGTAATTTATTTTTAAGAGCTAAGGTTCTTGGACTCCTTTCTCAGTATTATACCATTAGTCCATAATTAAAATTAGAAGCAGTTATGTGACTATCCTATAATAGTTAGTGTCAGAAAATTTAGATCTGTGCTTCTGGTGGCTAAGTCACAATCATTCATCAGGCTTGTTGCTAGAGACAGAGGGTTCTGTCTTCATATGTTAGTATTTATACTTTATTACGGACCCCTACTAAGCAAAATTTAGGAATTATACACTGGAGATATAAGTGCCAAATTACGAAATTGATCAGAATTTAGTTCCCAACTCTTTTTCCTCTCAAAGAGTTGGGAAGAAATAATAATAAGCCGATGTTCAATCATGAGTGGATCCATCCTGTTTTTTTTGGATTGAAACCATGTATATCTTTGGAAGATAGCCATAGCTATTCCCAAAAGCATTGCCAGGGGAAGGCTCTGGGGACTGAAGACCAAGATATTGGGCTCTTTAGCTCTGGATCTCCAGAGTGGATACAAGCCTTTTTGTTTCTTTGTAGCCTAACCATCAATTTTGAAGACATACTTTTATTTATTTTTTTATAAATATTTCTGCGACTTCCCAACACAATTCCTTCCCCCCTATAAATTTAGTGGTCTTCCATAATGGACATTTCTACAAAAAATTTCTGAATTTACCATGAAGAAAACTGTCACTCTTTAGATTACGTGAATACAATGGAACACGTAATAGAACACAGAAATACATTCTCAATATTTACGGAATTTAGCTACCACTTTTCAGAACACTTTCCCTGTGTTTCGTTTCTCTTCCTCCACGTGCTATGTTTAAAATACCAGCAGAGAGCAAACCTTAAAAGAAAGATTAACAGGAAGCCAAAATGCAGGCACTCAATTCCTGGAGAGAGTTAAATACAAAAGTGTGGATTTTTTTTGTTTTAAATCTTTGTTGTTACATGTAGGTTATAAGCAAAACATGACATTAAAAATCTGGGGATGTCACATTAAAGGCAAACTTGATAATGTGTTACCAAGGAGGTATTGTAAGTGGGATCTTAGCGACACGATAAGCAAAACTTGGAATCAAAATGTCATATTTTGATATGTAAACGTACAGTTATAAAATAGATACATAAGCATTTATGCATTCTAAACATCTGAATGCATAGATACTTTCACGCATATTTCTTGCAGACTAAGAATGAAGTGTTTTTCACAAAAATTCTAGAAATGTAAACCTTATTTTTTATGTCTTTCCAGGTACCAGTGCCACAGACATTGTTACTACACTCTAGATAGAATGGTCCATTACACCCCTGAGTCTATCATCACGGTGATGATCTTAATGATTACCTTCCTGGTGGGTGTGCCAGGAAACATCTTAGTAATCTGGATAACAAGTTTTAAGATGAAACGGACAGTGAACACAGTGTGGTTTTGGAATCTTGCTCTAGCCGACATAACCTGTTGTTTGTCTCTTCCTTTATCCATTGCCCTTGAACTTCTCCATAACGAGTGGCCATATGGCTCCTTCTTATGCAAAGTTTTACCTTCCATCATTATCCTCAACATGTTTGCCAGCGTCTTCACATTGGTGGCTATTAGTGTTGATCGTTGCATTTTGGTAGTAAAGCCTGTGTGGGCGCAAAATCACCGTAGTGTACGTTCTGCTTGGCTTGTTTGTTTAGTTATTTGGTTCATATCCTTCTTGATGTGTCTCCCTCTCCTCCTGTACCGAGAAACCATCACAGAGAATAATATCACCACATGTGGATATAAATACACCAGCACGCATTTTTATTATGAACAATCTTGGCTAGAATGTTACGACAATGAAGACTGTAACTTCACATCATGGAACTCTGTTTTTGACTCTGCCAGTGAAACAGAGTCAATTAGTACAGCTTTAATTTCTGCATCTAACTTCACAAACGCAGAAGAAATTTGGACTACACCGCATCCAATGGCTACATATAGCTCTCAACAAGAAGAACAGGACCAAAACTCTATTGATGTTAATAATTTTTTCTTTGAGATGGATGATGATGATGAATCAGGTCACAACACAGTCATTACTATTACACGTGTTGTTTTTGGGTTCTTTTTACCAGCTATAATTATCTCGGCCTGCTACATCCGCTTGGCCTGGAAAATGCAAAATGCGAGCTTCAGTAAGATGAGCAAAAAAACTCTTAAAGTGGTGTTTAGTATTATTTTGGCATTTTATATATCCTGGACACCATACCATCTCGTGGGTCTTACTATGCTGTACGTGCACAGCCAACATCTAAATCGTCTGGACCATCTCTCTCAAGCACTAGCATATTCAAACAGTTGCGTTAATCCCATCCTCTACGTCTTCATGGGCAAAGAGTTCAAGAGCAAGATGCGGAAGTCCATGCTGGGGTTGATGGAAAGTGCCTTTAGTGAAGACGTTACTCAAAGCACCAATCGCAGCAGAAGCAAAGCTTGTGTTCAAGACATCTACTCCGTGAGTGGGCAAAGCCAAGCAATGATGACTCTGTGAGATGTTGCTTAGTGTGTGCTTACCTTGTCCACTTACATTAAATAGCTTTGTATATGTCAATGTTACACATTTGTGAAGAGAGGTATATTGACACATGGACAACTACAGTGGTAGTGCCAAGCATACAAAATCCAAAACTAAATGACCTAAAATACCTAAGGACTTTCCATGAACTGTGTGCTATGGAGATTCGTGGGTCTGGCATAAGAAAATTTGCCAGAAAGTATTATAGACTCAACATATCTGAACTGAACTATTTCCTGCCTTTTCTGCTAAATAAAGAATATTAAAAAAAAAAAAATGAATAGACTGCTAACTTAACAATAAGAAAAAATGTTCCAGCCAGGGTCGTTGCTAGTGTCCAAACACATTCAGGACTTGAGCTCAAGACAAACAAGTATCATCAAAGTCCCTCACAAATGTTACCTATTTACGCCTGCAATATAAGTGTTTTGACACACATTGAGCTATACATAAAGACCAGTGACATATACATGAAGATCAGTGGCTGCTGGTGAAGTTTTAGATGGTGAGGCGCTAGGCTCCACACCAGTAATTTGATTGCGCCCCTTTCCGTAAACTTTGACCCTAATCTGTATTACTTTGCTCACTAAAAGGATACAATAGGCACCAAAACAACTTTGCTTATAAAGCAATTTTTGTGTATAGATCACGCCCCTGAAGTCTCACTGCTAAATTCTCTGCCCTTTAGTATTTAAATCACGTTTCTTTCTGTTTATACTGCCCTAACCACAATTCCACTGGCTGACAGCATTAAAAAAAAATGATTTCAGATCTTACTTACTTTAGAAGTTGTTATCTTCTTCTCTGTTAACTGAACTTTAAAGGACCAGACTGACTTTTGTTTTTAGTAAAACAAAAATCACTGTTTAATACATGTACTCCCAATCAATACATACATGCATTTTTCACACATGTATTCATTGGGGTTATATCTTAAAAGCGCTTGCAATGTCTGCAGGACTTATGAACTGCAGTTTTTGCAAGCCCTCCCTTTCTTCCTTGAAATAGACTAACCGTCTCTTCACAGGGAATAAATCTCGTTTAGCCGCCTCTGAACCTGTGCGCATGGGCTTGTGTGTGCCTGCTCGTGCCCAAGTCTGGTGTGAGGCCTGTGGAGGTGCTGGAGTTCCTGAAAAGGTCTGTGGGGGGATGAGGCAGGCGTACTCTGTTTGATTGAAAGCTAAGGGATGTTCAATAATTTAATTATAAAAGTGCAGATTTCTCATACAAACCTTTATAAACTCTGGTTAAAATGGGAAACTCTTCACCCATCAAGGAAGCTGAAGTGCTCTATGGGTGCTGCATGGTCCTTTAATTACAATCATGAGGCACCTGCAGGCTTTAGCAGGCCAGTAACAGAGAAGGACGTAAAAATTTCAACATTAAACACACTGTGCAAAAAAGGAAGTTTAAACATTAGATTTCTCTTTACAGGAGTTGGTTAGGAAAGATGTATAAGTCATAGGCAAGGGCTGCACAAACAAAATAATTTAACTTCTAAATGCCAGAGATTGAGTTGTAAGACTGCAGGGGCATGATCTATACACCAAAACTGCTGTTTACCCAAAGTTGTTTTTGTGCATATAGTATCCCTTTATTTTGCTGCTAATGCCCATATTAATTTTGTTTTTAAGCTTGTTCATTGTTAGAAATCCAGTATATCTGTTCTAAAACATTCTCACGTAGTCCTACTCACGTTCATACTCGAACTAATGTGCCTAGACTAGGACAACGGTGCTCTATGTAAATGTCTCTATAATTAGTCATGTATTCCCACGTCCTCTAGGACTAAGTTCATGTTCGGTAATAATACAAAAAAGTGCAGAGTACTAGCCACATTGTATGTAACAGTGACACTTGTACTATGCCTTACATCTTGCTATTGTGCCTTACTTGCTTGTCAAAGAATTGTAAAAATATTCATTGTTATGCTTGATAACCTGTTTGCCATACCATTAACACTCCAGTTCAAGTACATTATATTTGTCAAGACACAGCCAGCTAAATGGCTGTCTGAGTCTCACGTGAAACGTAGTCAGTAGGAACTGCAGTGCTAAAAGTAAAACATTACTACTAAACAGTTTAATTAAATTTCTTTATGCAGAGTATAAGACAAAGTCCTACCTGGCTAGGGAGCAGTGCTTTCAGTTGCTACCTGGATGAGATTTTGGTTTGTTTTGGTTTTTGCTACCTGGATGAGTACTGCAGGGGGAGAGCTCAGCAGAGGATATAGTGAAGGGAGATGGCTTTAAAGAATGGAGCCAATGGAAGATTATCAGAGACTTTTCCTGGCACTATAGCTTCCCTCTCTGTCAAGGAACCCCCCGTAATCGCCCAGTGGTGCAAAAGAGGTAATAACCCTTTCTGTCACTCAGGGCCGTCTTTAACGCGGGGCAAACAGGGCAACTTCTCTGGGCCCAGTTACTCCAGGGGGCACATCCTCCCAGGCAAAGAGAAAAATCAGAATGTATTAAAATTTGCTATAATAAATTTGGAAAGTGTTTTAGCAGGTGGTATTCAGTGAGATTTCTCTTGTTTTCAAATATGTCCTAGGAAGCAGAAAAAAAAAAACTTGTTACAAGGCTTCCATTTAACATACTTAATCAAGTAATGGAAACCTTATAAATGAATAATTTAGTCAAACAGTGAAAATGGCAAAAGCATTTCTGAAAAAAATAGATACAAATTATAAAATCAGATGCTTGTTCCATTAACTGTCATGATTCTTAGGGGCTAATTTACTGAACAGCTGAGCTTTTACCAACTCTCTAACTTTGACATCACATACTTTACATTTGGTTCTCTACTAAACTCTATATTTTCACAAACTGATTTTTAAAGGGAAAAATTGAGGGGAAAAATACCCAAACTGTGACAATTTTTCCAAAACCAGCCATTTTACCTCAGTTTTGCCCTCTGAATTAATTCACATAAATCTGAAGTCAAGTAAATTGACTTACCTGGAGGACTCCTACTTTTGGTCAAATCCAATGTAGGCAGGTGGGGGAGCGACCATCCCAATTTTGTTGCAAAAATCTACAAACAACATAAAAAAACACTAATGACTAATAAAAGTGTGTTAGAAAAATACAGGTTATTATTAATATTTATACAGCACTATCATATCACACAGCACTTTACAATTATAGATAGGGGATATTTTAAGGGGAAAATAGTCCTGCTCATTACAGTCTATGAGCATTTGATGTAGATTGATATAGATCACTAAATGTCTTGTCCAGAAACTCTTACTGGTAAGATCTGACAGGGGTTCAAATCTGGGTTTCCCTGTTCTAAGACAGTGACATTACCACTGCTCCAGTCAGCTGATACTTTGTTCATGTTATGGTGTTGAGAGATTTTTTTATTTTATTTTTAAACTCCCATTTTCTGGGTATAAAACTCTACACATAGGCTAAACATGGGATTATCATATACTGGGCACTACAGGACAAGTCTACATTTTGTTATGTATTTTATGGCTGTCATTGGTAACAGCCTCGGAGGTGGAATCAGACCTCTTTAAAGGAACAATAGAGCGTTAAGAATAAAAACCTGTTTTAGTCCCTATTTAGCCTCAGGGTCTCCAATGGCAATAAAAAAATAGGGGGAAAAAGCATTTTACTTACCTTTTTTTTTTCCAGCGCCGAGACTCATTGCTATCCCATGCTCCTCTTCCTGCAACGTCATCCAACAGACGTTGCTTCATTGCCTTTCCATCGATACTAATGCTTCTCACAGAGAAGTACTTGGGGTGGGAAGCACATGTGCACGCATCCAATGATTATCTATGAGCAGCATTCGATGACGTTCAATTTACTCATCAAATGTCACATGAACAAGTCAAACTCAGTCATTGCGGTAGAAGCACAATTACTTAGCGGCTGACAGGTAGAGGTGTTTTACCACTGCAACAAAAACATTGCCATTTCTTCAAAACAGCAATGGTTTTCATTGCAGGGCTAAAAATGACAGGGGCACTGAACCCAGACCATTAGATTGAGATGAAGTGGTCTGGGCGCCTTTAGTGTCCCTCTAAAGAGGTTGTTGTTTCCAAATATGTGTATCTATAGGTTTATGGTGTTGGATGTCTCATTGGATCAAGGGTTGAGTAAAGGATTTTAAGTGGGCTAAACCCATCAAGACAGAGTCGGCACCCTATCATCTTTAAATTTTACCAGGTGCCACTGGTCGAAACGCTTGAAAATTTGATAGCAGTACCTGCATCCTGATGACACCATAACTACTACACTATCACATTATAATGCTGAGACGGCTCTTTTATCATGCGTTTTCCATTGTTAAATGAATATAAAAGGTAATTTATGACTGAACAGCAAATAGTCACATTTGTCATGTCAATTAAAAAAATAATTGAACTTTTAATGTGTAATAAATACAAAAGAACATAACGTAAACTATTCAAATTACAATTGTTTTAGCTATGCAATGCTTCGTGAATATTCCCCTAGACATACAGAGCTATACATTACAGGGCGTCAGTCTCAAGTACTGTTTTCTACTTCTGTATTTCCTATTACGTAGCTAAAGTATTACTGTATACATAGCTTGAAAGACCGAATGGTAAGTAGGCCTGATTATAATACAAGATACTCATGCTTCTAAATAGTTAAACTCGCATTTTATAAACATACAATATTTTTCATGGGTTTTTTTTTTTTTTTTGTAATATCCTGCACTTGCAAAATATATCATTATACCTAACATCTGCAGTTTTTACTTGGTTTCCTAATCTCATACTGTCATTTGCATCGTTAACGGGAAACTAACAGCATTACGAAATGTTATATAATAAATTATTCTTTGGTTACTGAGAAATAATCCATGATTGCTTAATGTTGCCGTTGATGTATACACAGTGATGTATCTAATTTGCCTTTTTGCCTTGCGTGGCACTTTGCAGGGGGCGACAAAAAAGCCGCCCCCAAATGCCCAGGCAGATCCCTTGTTTGCCTTGTGTCCTGGGGGGCTCAAGAGCTGGCCACTTTTGAAGCCGGGAGCCGGAATATGACGTCACTCCGGTTCCCGGCATCACTAAGCGGCGTGCGAGGGAGCTGAGCAGGAAAATCAAAGCTCCCTCGCCACCTACTCAGCCTGTCTGCCCCCTGCCTGCCTGCGCAGCAGCCCCACTGGACCACAGGTAAGTAATCCACTTTTATTCAGTATTGCCAGCTCTGTACATATATAAGGGAAAGCAGAAACCTATTTGTTGTTGCATAAAACCATGGCAGCAGAAACGTAGGGTCTCTAGGACCCTGTGGTGTTTTACAGCCTTACAAGGACCCAGCTTCCATGAGATGCCACAATCTATATAGCAGACATTGTGGTGCATCCCTCAATACTAACTAGAAAGGCTTTTAGAGCCAACTTCATCGCAAGACTACATCTCCCGGAATGCAATGCTCACACACTGCTTTTTTTTTTTCTTTGCTCTGCTGGTTGCTAGGGGAGGGAATAGCCCCGGTTAGTTGCGAGGGGCGTGGTGAATTGCGGTTTCTGAGGAGAGGAAGAGCCCAGTTAGATTGATTGACGGAGCTTTGTCCAATCATGAGTCGCGAAGCCGGAAGAATTTGTGTGAGGGATAGAACGAAGGCTGTGGGAGCCGCAGCTGCTGGAAACATTGGAGGGAGATTCAAAATGGGGTGAGCGGGTGTCAGTCACCCTACTGAGGGCGGGAGAGACCGGGGAGTAATAATCCTGCTGGTTATGGAAAGAGAGAAAGTGTAATAACCCCCCTGGGGGGCAGGAAACATGCTGGGGGGGGGCAGGAAACATGCTGGGGGGAGCGGACAGCCCTGCTGGGGGCTGGAGAGTGACAGCCCTGCTGGGGGCTGGAGAGTGACAGCCCTGCTGGGGGCTGGAGAGTGACAGCCCTGCTGGGGGCAGGAGAGTGACAGCCCTGCTGGGGGCAGGAGAGTGACAGCCCTGCTGGGGGCAGGAGAGTGACAGCCCTGCTGGG